AAGGTGTAAAAACCGTCAAGCTGCAGTATAAACAGACATATAGAATGATTGAAATTATGTAACAATTTCATTTAAGACTCTCTTGAAACTTCTGATTGATTTGGAATAGAAGGATCCGATGCCAAGGTGCTTTTCTCTAATAAACTCTGTAAGACTAAAAAGCACAGTCCTTAAACACTTTTTAAAAAATGAAGTAGAAGTAAAAATGTAAATCAGTACAAATTTAATCAGAGTTTCCTCATTCAAATAAAACCCTGATATGTTGCTATGCTTTGCTTTTAATCTTTTTAATAAATGAATTTGTAGTTCTACAAAATTGTATTTATATACTGCATACTAATTCAATTTGACTTTTCCTATCCAACCTTATTTCATACACATCATTACCTATATTTCATACTATTAACATTGTTTAATAAGGTCAAATAATTTATCATAAAGTCTTCCATGATCCATTACACTGAAGCCCACATACAGAAAAGAAAATAAAGCTAACAATATCTTCCACTTTTTATTCCTCCAGAAAAAAGAAAGCCCTGACTTACTTATGGAAAAGGTCATTATAAAAAACACAGATTTTGAAATGTCCTTTTTTTCAGCCAATTTTCAGGGCTGTACAATAAAAATGGCACTAGAAACTGTCTTTTCTCACAAAGACTTAAAAAATTGTGTAACAACAAAAAAAAAATTGTGCAATAAAAACAGAAGAGGCAGGGATTTGGGGCCCTCCAAAAAGAACTGGGTTGTATACACAGATGCCAAGAATCACGGGGGCCCACGTTTAGAGGAAAGTGAAGGAATGGTTTACAGGAAATGCAGAGGGTGACTGGGTCAGCTGACTCACATTTGGCCACGGCTGCTGGAGACAACATCATCACCATCTGACAAATGTTCTCGGGCTTGAATGAACTGAATTGGCCTCACTGTAGTTTCTAGAGGAACAGGTGTGCAAGTCACTAAAGATGAGGAAACCTATGCTTGGAGTTGGCACTGATTATCGTCTTTGCTGGCGGCTCAGCAGGAAGGTGAGAGTGTAATTGCTGTGGAAGTAGCTGCCTGGCTCTGGAACAGTCAGGGGCTCACTGAGAGTCCTTGTAAAAGCTTAATTCGCAAACGACTGTCTGTAGCACTGGAACTTCACATTCTGACTTGTGTCTACATAGACGTAACGTACAGATAGGCTACTTTCAAATCTTTGCACATTGTGGAAAACCCTATGTATTAGCTTTCTGTTATTGTGACAAAATACCTGAGATAACACTAAAGGATAAAAAGATTTATTTTCTCTCAAGGTCAAAGGCTTTAATCCATGATTGATTCGCCCTGTTGCTTTGGGCCTATGGCAACTTCTACATCATGGCAGGAGCATGTGACAGGCAAGATCTGCTTACTACACACTAGCCAGGAAGCAGAGAGAGTGAGACAAGAAAGAGGTTGGAGTCCTGCATCCCCTTCAGTGGCATACCCCCAATGATCTAACTTCCTAACGTTTTCAAAACCTCTCAAGAGTACCCGTTAGTGATTAAAACTTCAAAGTGAGCATTTTGGGGATATTCAAGGTCAAAACAAAACATCCAGCAAGGTAATCACCAGCGACACCTCTACTAACTAAAATAATAATAAATACTGCTAACTGCCTTACCAGTTCAAGTCCTGCCTCTTCCTTAGTGTTTTACTCCTCTCTGATCAGATCTCTTTTGGTACTCTGTATGTCTGTTACACATCTGTACCTAGCAGAATTATATAAACCGTTTTATAGTTCAGCATGGCTAGATAAGTACCTGGGATATTGCCCTCCATTTAAACAGTGAGACCATCTAAGAGACTCCGGAGTCTTCTATTACCACTTTGCTACAGACAGGCCTCAGTCCATTATCATTAGAGCTCCGCTTATCAGATCCAGTTCCTCTTCCGCCTGGTTAGCACTCAAGGCCCCACAGAATCCCGTAGCACCCACATTTCTTGTTCAGGCTCATTTTACTTTATTCCCCAGCCTTGTCCTTTCTTCTCCAGAAAACTTGTCTTTTTCACTGTTGTTACACACTTGGCAAACCTTGACTCTGCTTCCCTGAACAAACCTGTAACCTCCACAAGGCACACACTCACTCTTTCAGTCAGTCCATGGCTATGACCTACTTCCTCTAAGACCTGGCTTAGAACTCTCTTACCACAGGACGTTTCTTATGGCCAGCCACGCCCTGGGCATATTTAATACTACAAATTTTCAATGTTTGTGTTATCACTGGAATCAGCTGAACTTTCAAGGACAAGAATTTATTAAGTGTCTTTCCCAGTGTGGTCTACATAATGCTCTGCACATAACAGATGTTTCATAAGTATGTTTCAACTAAAATAAGTGCAATTCTCAAGATTTTTAACAAATACATATTAAGACAAAAGTGTTATTTTTAAGATAAGACTTAGTTTATGAGTCCACTTGTCAAACATCATCAACTGACAATGGAGGTAAGTAAAAGAGTAACAGAGATAAAAAGACCGATCATCCAACATACCACTCAGCCTGATATTGCCACTCCTAATCCTTCTGAGCAAATCTGACAGTAGTTACCAGTTGACAAATGTGTATCCTTCACTGTGGTTCATATATGCTTTACATCATTTAGTGCTAAGAAACAGAAGCTTTCTTCTACCATTAGCACTTTGCAGAGGGGAAAGTAGGTTTGGAGAAGTTATGTAATTTGCTCAGAATCACATTTTAAGTGTAATGTCTGCTTCTTAAATCAAGTCTCTGGATTAAATGTTTGGGGCTACTGAGATAATATGTGGGGATGAAGTCAGGTGTGGTGGCGCATACTTATAACCCCAACCCTCAAGAAGCCAAGGCAGGGAAGATCACTGCCAGTTCAAGGCCACCCTGGCTACATAGTGAGTTCAAGGCTGGGGTGAACTCCATAGCAAGACCCTCTGTCAAAAGAAGACAAAGAAGATGAAAACAAAGGAGAAGGAGGGGGAGGGGTAGTGGGAAGGGGGAAGAAGTGGAGGTGAAAAAATTCCTTCCTCTCATTTTTCGGAGCCCTGTCCAGTCAGATCTTCCTCCACCTCTAGTATGGCTGGATGGCCCAGGCCCTTGACAGGCCCTCGGGAGGCTCTTGGTTCCCAGCCCGGAGAGCTGTCTGGTGAGTGCTCACAACGGAGTTCCAATCTGAAAACTGCCCCAGTAGAAAGGAGTTGCTTTCCTCAAGTCCCAGCACCACTTCAGGGCTGGTCAGGTACAAGATGCAAAGCCCAATCACCCAGCCTAACTTTGAGATACCTGTGAAGGGCTGGTCCAGCTTCACTGTTTCCCTACAGCACGGCTGAGACCTCAGTGACAACAGTGTATGACTTAACCTCTCCACCTGCCTAATTCTTTCCTCCTCCTCCTCCCCTCTCTTACATTTTTGCTCCTCAGAGCTCTCCCTAAAAATCTCCTGCCAACAAATCTCTACCTCTGAGACTATTTCCTGGGTACCTGCCTGAAGACCTGAGCCAAAAGTGAGAAAGTGGGAATCAAAGCCCACAACCTGGACTGTCACCAGCAGCAAAAAAGAAGCACTGGGTGGGCACATCCCAAGTCCCTCTTCAGTAGCAGCCATGTAAAGCACTGGGAAGTGGGCAGAGCCTACATCTGCCTCTGTCTCTTCTTTGATGCTCCCTCTGCCCCAGTGTGTAGCTCTCTTTATCCCTCTTTCCCAGAAAGAACTAGAACCCTGATATCCTCTCCCTTCTCTCCTCTGTCCTTCAAACTCTTTCAGGAAAAAATATGAAGAGTTCAGTCATATAAAGAAAACAATAAAATTAATATACAGTATTACAAATATGGGATTTAAAATAAACTATTGCTTATTTTAAGTTTAAACCAAAGAAAAAATACATATACTAAAATTGCAGACAATTGTTCACTAAGTAAAATACACACTGGAGTACCTACTGTGTTCAATGGTAGCAATCTGGGTTGAAGAGAAATATTTCAGATTGGGGGGAGTGGCCACCTAGCCTTCTAGAACCTACCCCAGTGGTTGACTATTCCCTGAGGTCTTCACTGTCTCTCTACATCTATGTCTCACAATGATTACTCAACTCCATGCTGATTCTAGGAAGTGACCAGTGCTGATGAATTTCCACGCTACAACAGAAGCAAGCATCTATGGGTACCTGCCCCACCCCCTAGGACTAAGTGAAATTCTAGTCTTTCATATGACATTCATTTCCCTAGAAAAACAAATAAGTAACCAGCTCCTCTTCTGTTCAAGTCAAAAGCACACTAAAAGTATTCTTCAAAAACACTAAAAAAAAAAAAAAACATTCAGAAGCAGCAGAAGACTCCTAAATTCAGTCTCCCTTGATATTCAGCATAGGCAAGATTGTCTACTTTTGGACAGGTTCAAGATAAGGGGTGCACAGGAAACTATTCACCAGGGTAATTTTACTACAGTGTATCTGCTCTGTCTGAAGGTGTCTCCATCACTATTAAAGAAGAAAAATAGAAGACATTGCTTCTAATTTCCTCAAATGTCAAAAGCTGAACACTAGGGCTGTTCCTTGATATATTCTGTCTTGTCACAAATTAATAAATAAATGAGACAAATAGAGATTCAAAGACACTAGAGATTCAAAGACCAAGAATTTAAATTGCTACTATGATGCTAGGAATCCCTATATAAGTAGTTTAACTTTACCTTAAACCTCAGTTTTCTTAAATTGGAGTGTATGTATGTAAATACAGGTTTGTTTCTCATTCATTTATTAGGAGTAATCAATACAGAATTATTCACAAATCCCCCAAAAGAATATAAAACATTCCTCTGGCAATGTAAATGTAACTTTTTAGTCTGGCACACACGTTTTCTTTAATAAAAATTATAAGAATTTTAATACTTAGATGAGAATTCTTAATACACTCATATATACACACCTGGAAAACAAAAGAGTATGAAATGTGACTCACCGCAACGTGAAAGGGGCTTTCAGATGTAACCTAAAGTTCTGGGATCATTTACCTGGATATACTGCCACAGATGACTGAACATGGTTGAGTACTGTGCAAATACCAGACTGCTTTGGATACTCCAATTAATATACTGATTCGAATGTGCCAAGAGAGTGGGGCTGTGTTACCCTAAAAAGACAACAGCAATTGGTATGGTTGCACTTTCTGAATACAAACGACTTTTGTGTTCCTTATATGGAAGCATGCTAGAAGAGACAGAAGGCAAGGTGCAATGGAAGAGGCAAATCAGCATTTTCTGGTTTGCTACAACCCACTTTAAATTTCAGACAGATCTCTTTCTGCTATTTGTGATGGTTCTAGAACTCTTGATAGATGACAGAAATACCTAATAATTTTCAGTATTAACTTAATCTAAATAACTAGTGAGCTGGGGATGTAGCTCAGTAATAGAGTATTTGCCTAACCTACCAAAACCTAAGACCAAAAGCAAAAACCCAAAAAACAGTGGAGAAACTGAGACAGGAGGTTTCCAGGGTTGAGGTTAGCACTAGTTACTATACTGGTCTCAAAATAAAAAGTGCTGGAAGGATAAGCTCAGTTGTAGTGTGCCCTGGGTTTGTGCTACAAAACAAAGCCAAACCTGAAACAAAAAACACGCAGGAAGGTGACACTGTTTAACAGTTCATTAAGATATTTAAATTACTTGTGGCATAATAGTGTGAGAAATTGAAAATAATCTGCTTTTATTCTCATTTTAGGGGAAACTTAACTTTTTCAGAATCAATTTTTAAACTAATCCTTCAAAACTGCCTAGGAGAAATCACAGGATTTATTCTGCCTCTTTCTCTTTCAAGAGTCTGTAACACTTGTATGTGTATCCCTTGTATACAATGACACTTTCATAAAGTTATGTGGATTAAGATTACCAGAGAAACAAGGGTGGTTGATATAAACTCGCTTAAGGTATAGAATCAATAAAAAACAAGGACCCAATAATTAACTGTTTTGGCAACCAGAATCCAGTAACTCAGGTATTTATAAAGGATTCTAGCAGTAAGAAACTAATCCACAGGAAAGTTCTCTACTTCTTTAGCAACACGCTCTTGGCCATGCTCTCAGGTTCACACACCTTGGTTTCCTGGCTCCCTGGAAAGGTGGCAGTGGCTCCCCACCCCATGATTCCAGAAGGTTGGACAACAAGGCAGAATGATAAATACAACTTACGACACACTGTAATCTGTCAAAAAGTGTTCCGTTTCTCATATATGGATAAACCAGGCAGAACTTCTCAGTCTCTGCAAAATACGCAGCCAACTCTAGTATGTTTGGGTGGTGGAACCTTGAAAGAAAAGATTTTTAAAGCCATCAAACCGTTATGCAAATGGAAAATATTCTGGTTTGGGGCACTGTGCAGCAAGGTGAGGAACCAGTCAAAAGCAGGTAAATCTGGCAAAAGGACAGTAATTTCATTGGACAGATGATACAGATTTCCTTTCCTCAGTGTTCTAGAGTTCTAACAGTACTCTTTTTGATTGTTTATGACATGAATAAAAATTCCACAAAATTTAAATGAAAAATTCCTAAGATTTGGAATATTGGAAACTTTATAAAAACAATATTCAATATTAACTTACTTTATTCATGAATTCAATATGACTTACTTTATTAAATGTAACACAAATGAAATTGTTTATTTGATTTATTTAAGTATACACTGTAGGTAAAGTCACCAAATATAGCAGTACAGAAGATTACTTTCATTCATCCATTTATTGAGCACGAGTAGTCAGGTAACTAGGCTAGGTAGCAGTCACGCCACTGAAAAGAGACAGTGATGTGCTCACAAAGATTCTATTATTATCTAAAATGCATATAATTAGTAAAGTTTAATGGAAAAACATACTGTTGTTTTTAAACCACAGATTTTTATGTCAGTATAATGTGTTTTATTTCTCAGGTTCCTATCCTAATAATCATTTATTAGTAACCTAACAGAAAGTATTCCTTGAGTGTATATGTACTTACAATGAAGACCAATGGAACTCAATAACCACTACAAAATCTTAAACATAAAATTCGCACATTCTGTGAACTTGGGTTAACTCAACAATTATTTACTGAACACCTATCCCGTCCTGGGCATGTTTGGGAATATTAAAATAAAAAAGCTTGCCAGGCATGGTGGTGCATGGCTACAGAAAGATAAGTTTGAGGCCAGGGTCAGCTAGTGAGATTATGCCACAAAATTTAAAAAAAAAAAATTAAAGGTTTGGGGATGCAGCTCAGTGGTGAGTGCTCCTGGGTTCAATCCTCAATACTGCAAATAATAAAACAACAAAACAAAGCTGTAAAAAAAGAAAGAACCCATTCACAAGGATAATTATTTGTTTCTTTTAGTAGCAAGACTTTCCTATAAACACATACACATACACTGTCATGTACACGTATGTACATATCTTTGTGTGTGCCTGTACATACATGCATGAATAGGCTTCTGATCCTTCAAGGAAGGATATGTTTCTGTGTGAATACACATATAACAGATACATATACAAACACATGAAGAGATGTATGCTTTTAAAATTGTCCAAAACTTCTGTCATATAAGATCCTTGCATCTATGATTTAGATTCTATCTGTAAAATGAAGCGCAGTAAACTGAAAAGAAATAGAAGTATTTTAGCAGGAAAAAAAGTAGAGGTATATTAAACTGCTTACACAGCTGATCTATACCACTGATTGGCTCATTGTCCTGCAATTTAAAATAATTCAGAGAGAAAAAAGTATTTGGAAGGAAGTCCATAGTAGACATCATACAGGCACAAATAAAATTTGCTGTTCTTTCTCATCCACACAGAAGAAAGGACTATTTGCTTACATTTAAACATTAATGATCAAGCAGAAAAACAGTATTCATGAAGCTAGCCCATGAATACTAAACACCATAAAGTTACTCCTCTTCAGATTAACCTATAAAGTAGATTCAATCCCAGTAAAAATACCAACAAGCTTTTTAAAAAAGAAACACAAATAGTTGTTTTAGTTCATATGGAACTTAACCTTATCAGATAAACCAAATAAAACAGACATATATGTATAAAGAATAAAGCTAGAAGTAGCATAGAAAAAAACTGAAAGCACCCGAGGGGAAAAAAATGGAGAATTATTTTATAACCTCTTAGTAGGAAAGAACTTTTGTTTTGTTTTTTGGCTTTTGGGTATTTGTTGTGGTGGTGGTTGTTTTTGATTTGGTACTAAGAATCAAACTCATCACCCTACACTTGCCAGGCGGGTGCTGTGCCACTGAGCTATATCCTTGGCCCAAAACTTTTAAATTATAAAAGAAAACACAGAATCTACAAAGAAGAGATAGACAAATTCAAATACATTAAAATCATTTCTACAGGGCAAAAACTAGAATAAACAGAGACAAAATGATAGCCTGGTAAAATGTTATTTCATCTCATAACAGAAAGTACAATGAAGATTGACACACTAATTAAAAATATTTTCAAATACAATGGCCTAGAACCATACGGATTTACTGATGACTTCTAACAAGCATTTGAAGAACTAATGCCAATACTTCTTATATTCTTCTTAAAACTTGGAATGAAGAGAACACTTCCAAAACCACTTTACTAGACCAGCACTACTCTTAAACCAAAGACAGAAAAGGACACTATCAGAAAAGAAAATCACAGGCCAAGATCCTTGCAAGACTCAACTACTTTTTGTGTCTGCCCAGAAAATATTGGGAAAGAATATTTTCTACTTGTAAAGGATAATAACAGATTTAGGTAAAACGGATTTAGAACTACTGCTCTTATATCTATAGGGGTAAGGTCCCACAATGAGAAAGGCTACACAGCTACAGTTATATTTAATTAATCTTTGACAAAGATACCAAAACTATACAAGGGGGAAAGAAAAGTCTCTTCAGTAAATGGTATTGGAAACACTGGATCTCCACATTCAAGAGAGTGAATTTATCTTGCACCACACCAAAAAATCACTCAGAATTATATTAATGACTTAAATATAACATCTGAAACAGCAAAGCTCTTAGAAAAAAAAACAGGAAAAAATTTCCTTTACATTGGTCTTGAGAATCATTTTTTTTTTTTGCTATAACAGCAAAAACACAGGTTTCTTGTTATAGAATTATTTTTCAATAATAAAAAGTAGGGAAGAAACCCCAAATATCCCTCAACTGAAAAAAATACAATACAGAACAGAACAGGATACACAAATAGGCAAAGTAAGCAATGTGGTAATGCTACCTTCTGTGTAAAAGGTCACAAGCAAGAAGATAAAATACGCATTTGCCTATGCATAAAATATTTGAGACTATGTAGAAGCAATTAATAACACTTTTGTTCAGCAAGCAAGTGGGAGAAAAAGGTTGCCCTGGTTTATGTTTTTTGCACTTTTGGAAGTTTGAAAAGTCTGAATTGTATTTTTATAGGCAAATAAATAAAACCTAAATGCAAAAACCTACTATGAGAATTGTGAATTCAATTTTTAGTGACCAAATAATAGGTATTAAGTTTCTATGATTAACCACTAATATTTTCATTTCTGGTCCTTAGCATAAAAGAGAAAGGATTCAGTGTAATACCTTTTCTCCCCACTTTCCCTTTCGCCACTAATTTATATGTCTGTTTAGAAAACATCCAAAAAGAACATTTGCTGTGCATAAAAGGTGATGAATGAACACTATAGGGTCAGGGGTCTTCAATGAAGAGAGTTGCACAGTTGCAGATACGAATATATGTGAAAATGAAGTTACCTAAATTTGTCTCCAAGGACTCTAAGATTTGTGAATGAATTTCTAGAAAATAATATGGACATCAAAAGCATTTGATTTCTTTGTCTAAAAATCATCCTGAAGACACTCATAGCAATGAAATAGTTTCTAGACTGTAATGTCTCTAAGGAAGGGGAAGCAGAGAAATATATACAATTCTAATGTTCTGAAAATTATTATTCAGCCATATTAGTAAACACACAATTTAACCCATTTCCTTATAAAGTTCCTTGCTAAAATATATTCAAGTGAATTATGTAAATGGCTTATTTTTAAATGTATTTTAAGAAATATATGGAAGCAGATGACAAAAATCTATACAATGTTCTAACATCCAACCCATGTTAATTAAATGCTAATGATGTCAAGCACCGTGCTGTAAAATCAAAGATAAACAGACATGAAACCCAGACAAAAAGGGGAGAAATTCCAGATAAAATATACTCACAGTAGGAAGACTTCAATCTCAGATAAAAATTTCTTCAAATGTTTTTTATACTGCAATTTTTTCTCCTAAATACAGAAAAGTTAAAAATTAATATCTTTTTTTTTTTTTTGGAAAAACACATTTGCAAATTTTTCTGGAGTGAGATTCCTTCATTTTCAACAGATTTTCAAAAACCCATTAACGTTCAAACAGATTTACAACTACTGATATTGAATTAAGTTTTTCATGTAATATAGCATGTTGGCAAATCTTTTTTTTTTTATTTAAAGAAAAGGAAACAAAAAAATACATGGAGATAAAAAAGGGTAGAAATAATACAAAATTACAGAAAAATAAACAGTAAGAAATCGCTAGTTGATAAGTTACACGTTGTCATCTTAGAAACAGCTGTTCAGGTTACAAAATTAAAGTATGTAAAATGACATTCAAAAAGTGACACTGCAAACAGCTCTGCTCAATGATTGAACAAAAACTCAGTAATATGGTTATCAGTCCTATATACTTGTTTTATATCTCAAAGAGGGTAAGATTATACATATCAAAACAGAACAAAACAGTTAAAAAAACAATTTAAAGAAATACAGATTTCAAAGCAAGTCCAGTAGAGATCTTCACTGTTTATCTAATTGTCTCTAGTTTCTTACAAATAGTTGTCCCCATCTTCATGCACATTAAATACATATTGCATATTATAGAACTAATCAAATCATTACAGCATGATGAAGGCTTTTTAGGTCTTCAAGATCTAACATTGGGGAAGACAATAATAACTACCATCGCATCTCTCATTCTCTTCGTAGTAGCTGTCCTTATCTTTACATATGCTGAAATTGAACTTAAGAGACTAGACTAATATCATTCTGGTCAGTGAATAACAGTATTGCTAGAATTTATATCATAATACTACAAAATTAGCATTGGGTTTCTTAGTGTCTCTTCTTCAGAGTATCTGTTCATTACATCTTGCATTATATAATCTGTTCCCATAAATAATTTTTAAAAAAATCTCATGTGTGAATTTCTACATATATATCTATCCTCTCTGTATTATAGGGAAAAACAAATCATATCAAGACAGCAAAACAAATTCCTAGAAAAACATGCAATGGATAAGACATATAAGACTACAAATATAGTTGATCTTCCGTAGTTACTATGTTTTCTCTTGTTATTTTCAATAGATTTGTCCACATCATCAGCTTAATATAGTTAAACTTAGTATTACCTATTTTTATAAAAACACAACTTTGAAAGCATTGTAGGATTTGAGAGCTGTTAATAATTAATACCAGTATGGGTATCTTTTACATCTTCAGAGTAGTTGCCTCTACTTTTAGGGTTGATACTAACAAGCATATCAAATTCAAATAAAATCAGCCAAGGCAAAACCGTGATCTTATGAATCGGATTCAATTAAGATCAGTCATAGTAAGACAATGTAAGTAATACAGGATTTCAGTTCAAGTTAATAGGAAAATAAGGATGGTTACCATGGTATAACCTGCTGTTTTTGGGTCAGATGTCTGTGCCCTCAAATCTGACATGAATGGACAGACCAGAACAAATTAAATTCAAACTAAACATGGCGATAAGACTACTGTGTCTTTTAAATCCTGATACACTATTAACAATGACCTCTGCCCTTTTTTATAGTGTTTCAGAGCTATCTATACTAAAGACTATAGCTTACCGTCTCTGCCTCATGTCTGCTACTCCACTTTTCTGCTATAATTTGTCCACCTTATTCCCTCATTCCACTGTCTGCCCCATTCATTGAGGCCTTTCTGCCACTGTTGCTGGAATCCTGGTATCTTTTCCTCTCTTTAATGTCCTTCAGCACTCTCTGTAGGGTTGGATTGGTGACCACGAACTCCCACAGTTCCTCCTTGTCTTGGAAGCATCTTATTTCTCTATTAATTTTGAGAGAGTTTTGATGGGTATATGAGTCTAGGTTGCACATTATTTTCTTTCAGGACTTGGAATATTTCTCCCCATTCCCTTCTTGATTTAAGACTTTGTGTTGATAAGTCTGTGGTTATTTTGATAATTTTCCCATTATAGGTAATCTGCTTCTTTTCTCTGGCTGCTTTTAATATTCTGTTCTTTTCGTGGATTTCTGGAATCTTGATTACTATATGTCTAGGTGTAGATCTGTTTTAGTTGTAGGTAGCTGGTGTTCTGTATGCCTCTTTTATCTGGATATCATTTCTTTTTGCTATACATGGGAAATTTTGCTTTAATATATCTGTGAATATTCTTTGTATTTCATTTTTGGTTGCTTCTACTTCCTCACTCACATTCTTTATTCTTAAGTTATGTATTCTTTTGTCATCTTCTAGCCTTTGAATTGTTTCTTTCTGGTTCCTTGTTATTTTTAAGAGGTTTTTTCTTTCACGATCATATGTCATAAATCTCTCTTCAAGTTTCAAAAGGCTAGCTTTAGTTTCTGTCAAGGCATTTTGCCAGTGTTCAATGGAGTTTTTAGTTTCCTGGTAATCTCTTTGGATCGATCTGTTTCATGTATTCTAAGTTATGTTTAAATTCTTCTTCAGAAGTTTCTCTTTCTTTTCTGATTTCCTCAGTTCTTCCATCTGTGTTCTCTTGGGCAGGGCTTGTCATTTCTTTAATTAATCTCTTTATATCTTGCCTCACTTGGATCAGGAGTACCGCTTTAAATTCATCTATGAGGTCATGGAGGTATTTTTTTATTTCGGCTGATGCTGTGTCCAGTATTGGATGGTTACTGTGCTTGTTCTCTTCATGTTTATTTCTTCTGGGCTTATTTTCTCATGTTGGGCAGCTGGAGATTTTTTTTATTTTTATCTCTTGTCATGTTTCTGATTTCTTTCACACTAGAGCGTCCTGGGGGTCTCTGGCCCACTCCGAATTGCTTAGGGCCTTTCAGAAGTGTGCTGACTTGAGTTTTTGCTGCCTTCCCCAATTTGCTGTTATCTGGGGGTAGGCAGGGATGCAGGGATGGTGCAGACTAGCCTCCAGCCTCTGTGCCAGTCAATCCGTAAATTAGGCTGTACTTTCTGGATGTCACAGAGTTGCGACTATTTTGTATCTGCTTATTGGGCCCCAAGCAGAGGCTTGGTTCAGCCCCAGCAGATCCTGCCAGTTCTCTCTGTGCCAGAAGCAGTTGACTAATGTCACCGTGGCACAGGGTTCTGCCCAAATCCCAGCTGTCCTTTTCCAGACCTCTCTGTGCCAGGAGCCAGGACAGCGGTTCTCTGGCAAATCTTACAATCAAACTTAAACCATATTTTTACACACTAAATGATAATTAGAAACTCTTCCCTTGATCTCACAAACAATTTATGTAACCTATATTCTTCTGCAAAATTTTACTATCTTGGCATTTGTGGGTTGGCTCATTTGGGTTCTGCTGTTTCAAGTATATCATTTATTAATTTGGTATCAGGAATTGAACTCACAACCTTAACAGTTGCCAGGCAGGCACTGTGCTGCTAAGCTACATCCCCTCATGCATTAATGTTTTTTTTTTGTCTTTTTCCTTTTTATCGGTACCAGGGATCGAACTCACGACTGCCTGCTTGCAAGGCAGGTGCTTATGCTGCTGAGCTAAATCCCCAGCCCCCTCGTGCATTAATGCTGAAAAGATAAGCCAACTAAAGAAGTGAAAGTATTTCTTTCTACCAAGAAGTTCACTCAGGGCTTGACACGTGAATACTGAACAAATTGGTATGTTTAATAATAATGTTGCTCTTAGCCCTCACACTGTGCTTGGCACATTCTTGATGTCTTCAAACACATCCTATCATTGCACGTTCCTGCATCTCAGCTTCCTAAATTCTACCATGAAAGAGTTAAATTTGCTCCTAAGTCCTGCTGGCTGTAAGATGTTTATTTGCAAACTTCTAGAAAGGGAAGAATTTTTAGAACTCCATCCTCAGAAACAAAGAGAGAAATCCAGCAGAAACTCTTGAAGTTATTTTTCAAGTTAAACTAGAAATAGTAATCTGGGCCAACAAATCATGTCCAAAGACCACTTTACCCAAGTTACATTTTACATCTCCACTGTCCTAGGTGCCAGATAGGTCTCCACTATTTGTCATTTTTTACCAGAAACTTAATTTCTCTAAAGTTATAATTTTCTTATTCTGAAAAATGAATGTTACTTTTCATATTTTGGCTCACCTAGCACTCTAACACCTTGCTGCTGAAAGTGTGGTTTTATGTAGCCCCAAAAAGAAAACCAGCTACAGTGGCTTTTAAATCTGAATCTGCTGGGCTCATGCCCAGATCTGCTGAACCAGAATCAGCATTACAAGATGATTCCCAGGTGATAGGATAAACATTAGTTTGAGAAGCACAGATCTGACATGTGCATTCAATTCTTCACTTTCTTACTTCAAGGAATTGAAGGTAATATGTCAATGTTATAGAATTAAATGTCTTAAAAGTGTTTTGAGGTTAGGGCTTCACTAAGTGTTCATATGTTTCCTGATAAATGTATGTGAATGTATGAGCATGTCTGTGTGTTAGGTTGATAAGGGGGATGGATATAAAAGTAATGGGCAAAAATCCAACGATACATCCGTTTACCACCCTAAAAGAGTTAAAATGTAGGTAATGTTGGATCACAGACAGTATTTTCTTTCAGTACTTTGCAATTGCTAGGTCTTTTTACTCTTAGTGGTTAGCAACTAAATTCTTGAAAAGGGATGCATAACTCACTCAATTTAACCCACAAACACTGAGAGAAGCATGGTGGTGCAGGTCTACAGTCTCACTACTCAGGAAGTCAGGGCTGGAGGATCACAAGTTCAGATCATGCCTCAGAAATTTAGTGACACTTTGTCTCAAAAGTAAATAAAACAAAAAATAAAAAAGGGCTGGGTATGCTCCTCAGCTTTGGCTACCATGTGTGAGGCCAAGTTTCATCCTCAGTTCCATAAGTAAATAAATAAAGATGCCAGGACAAGAATTCTTCAGAGAATGCCAGTTAATTCACTGGGAGAAGCAGATGAAGAAATCAGTATTACAAAACAATAAAATAATGCTGAAGGATGGTCATCTCAACCATATAGGAGGGGTTAAAAACCACTTATCTGGAGAATGAGAAAAGGAGACGTACGAGCAATGAAATCTCATTCTAACGTCAGACTAATGGGAAAAAAAACTCCCAAAGGGAAGGTAATTTGGTAACTGCTGCAAAGAATGGTGCAGAGATCCTTAGGGTGGTGGATCTCAGGCTCAACCATGAAATATTACAAAAGTGGGGCCAGAATTGGCACTAAGAAACAGGCTTCAGTTAGGCACCTTTAGAGCAACCATATTCTATTTGTTAAATGGTTTCAGGAGTAGATTTTTGTTGTCACACTGCTCATTTTCTTAGGAACCATGAGATATCTATATAGAACAAGTGGTACAAATTACAATTTTGGAAATTGAAGAAACCAGATAAATACCTTTTTGAAAGACCCTGCAAAACACAGTAAGCTGAAAACTGTAGGTAACTTTCAGTCCCTCCTCCCCTATGTCCCAGTCATATTCAAGGAGTCACTACCGTAGCGCGACCTTCTCACCTTCTGCACTGACTTTGCTCTGTCCTACAGCAGGGATACAGGTAATTAGCTATCCAGGTAATTCTGATATGCAGTGGAGTTAAGCCTCATTCGCATCTTAGTTTACATATCTAAGTATCCCTCCACTAGGTCTTTCTTCCTCTAGCCTAGCTCTTATGATCTTCCTTTAACTCCCTTGTCAAAGTCCAATCGCATCACCTACCTTTTAATTGAAGTTATATTTAAAAACAAAAATCTAAGCCTTTTCATTCTTTTACTTAAAAAGCATCCACAGGTTTAACCTAAAAGAGGTGATTAATATATATGGTATATGTTTAAAGTTTTAAAAATTAACATAGTATAACCGACTGTTTTGCTTTGTCACATTGGGGGTTTTTTTGTTGTTGTTGTTCTGTTTTGTTTTGTCTTGTTTCTTGTTTTATGGTTTTTTTTTTCTTTTTTTCTCCTCCTCTTCAAAGAAAAAGTTGTAAGAATTGTGGGAGTAATGGAACCCAAAATATGTGATTGTTAGTGTAAAAAAGGGAGGAAAGAAAGTGATCTAAAGGATATAACTGCAAGTGTATTTAAGTGTATAGGATAGAAAAACATATTACTGAGTTTTTGTTGTATCATTGAACAGAACTGTCTGCAATCTCACTGTATTAATGTCCACTTTGTATGCTTTAATTTTGTAACTGGACAACTGTTTCTGAGATGACAATATGTGATCTATTAACTAGTGAATTCTTACTGTATATTTTTTCTCTTGAAATTCTGTATTACTTGTAGCCTTTTACTGTTTTGCTTTGTTTTGTTTTTCTCTTTAAATAAAAAAATTAATATAGTAAAAGATATTTGCAACTAATCCCCACCAAAACAACTCTCCCTCATTTCAAACATACTTATTTCACCATTCTTGCCACTTCTAAAGTCCTCTCGAGTCTTCTAAAGTTTATCTAAAAGTCCTCTCGAGAGCATTTAGGAGGTATAACCAGAAATATGGTGAATGGTGCTGTGGAGTGACATCCCAAAGGAAAGGCAGGCTCATACAAATATTTTGGTGTGTACTCATCCACCTTATTCATCAAGACAGGCACTGCATGCTTTCTGGCTTGTCCCCAAATCAAAATGACCACTGAAAGGCAACTGTTTTGAATCGATCTAGAACACTGAGGCAGTTACAACTAAAGATACTTGGGAAAGATTCTTCCAGCACTGCGTAAGAAAGTATGGGCCAGGGATTTAGCACCTGCTTGGCAAGCGTGAGGTCATGAGTTTGATTCCCAGTGCAAAAAAAAAAAAAAAAGTAACAGAATGATGAGATAGTGTTTGAAGAAAGGACGAGTCATTTTGATGGGAATTAATGGTAAAGTGTCTTTTTCTGAAATAATTTTTTTGAAAGTCCTAATTTCCCACTGTATTTTCTGATCACACCTCGTATCTTTCAGTGTCATCTTTTGCCACACTCTCCTCTGCTCCACCAAATGACCTGATGATATGCATGATTGCATATCTGCACCTCCAGGCCTCTGTACCTGCTAGTTGTTCCACCTTCACCCCTTCTCCTTTATTGTCTCCTAAAACTCCACCCATCCTTTGATCCATAGAGAAGTTCACATTTTTTTCATCTGTTTCCAATTTCTTAAAAAATATGCCTACTGAGCAGTTACTCTGCAGTTTAATCTTTTCTTAGACTGGCTATTGCCCGTGAAAGACTGTGAACATCATGAGGACAGAGGCAGCCTTTTTCATCTCTATATGCATAGACACCCAGCTCATAGGACTTGGCTGACTGCTAGCTAACAGTGAAAAGCATGAAGCACAGCTCTTTTGTATATCTGTGTAGGTGCGTATCACTTACACACTCTGAAGTTTTATTTGCTAATTCCCTCTCTGCTTTCCTGGCTATAGAACCTCAACTATTTTCCAATTTCTACCTTCTCTGACAGTGAGCTCGTTGCTCCTACTTGAAGCCTCCTGCTTTCCACCCTCTTGAACTGTGACAGCAGACAATTTATGAAGTAGCACTGAATACTCCATCAGCAGATGGCTCCGAAGCTGCCTAAAGAGCACAGTGCTCATCCTAAGACTAACCCAGCCTAATCCTCTAAATAAAGCCTCAGAAGCCTTACACAGCTTTTCACAAAATTCTTTTTCATTCAGTATATCTGATGAGAAGGATACAATTTCCTTATTCTTACAAGACTGGTCATTCATTTCTCAGTCTGTTCTTTAGTAATATACCTTATTTTCACTTTGGAAATTTTATTTTCAAATATATGTACTTTCAAAGTTGTGAAAATAACACATTTTAGCTAAGCATGGTGGTGCATGCCTATAATCCCAGCACTCTGGAGACTGAGGCAGGAGGACTGCCATAAATTCCAGGCCAGTATCAGGTATACACTGGGATTAAGGTCAGACTGAACTGTACAGCAAGATCCTGTCTTGAAAACAAAAAACAAAAACAAAACAAACCCCCACATTTTAATATGAAACATACACAAGTAAATGTAATGGATCTGCTGTGATAGTAAATGTTTTCATACCTGTTTAAATAATTTAATGGCATATGTCTGGTCTCGAATCTCCGCCTTGTATACCTCAAAAATCTCGCCTTCACCAATTAGGAAGTTTCTGTGAAAATTTCTGGTCCCTTCTATGATGTTTTGAAAGCTGATGGAAGATTCAGGCAACATTCCTTAGAAAGGAGAAACAGAGAGAAGATAAACCACTTTTTTTTTCTTAAGAATCAATGTCACTAGATAACCTGGATTTCCATAATGGAAAAATGTTAGAGCCAGGTGGAAAGCAGTAGCAGAAAGACCACAAACCCAAACTGAAGCCAGCATGTGTTCTCTGCTGATTTCCTGAGCTTCAGTTCTTATTATCCCACAGAGCAAATAAATGACTTTTTAGGTATTTGGACAAATATTACTGTGATTTTATCACCTCTCCAAAGAAAGCAGCCAAAGAGCTTGCTTGGGGAAACTTTTCCAATATTCTGTTTTCTTGTCAATCTGGTGCTATTGACCCATTATGAACCTAAAATCACTAAAATAAGACCCTGAAGTGGAACTCTTGATACGCTTAAACAATATTTTCCAAGCAAGACTAACAGACATAGTTTTCATGAGCTAAACCCTCTCTAACCCACTTTAAAAAAATCATCCTAAGGGAGTTTGCGAAAAAACATTTAAAATAATGTAATACAAAAAAAACTTTTAAAATGCTTAGCTAAATCCATCCAAGCCAATATGGGCAATATTTCCATAACTAATAAAGAATATTCTCTAAAGACATTTACAGTTTGATTGAGATCTGACTGCTAAAGAATGGAAACCTTATTTAACCTTTTAAATTCTCTTTTCAACAAGAGTAGTGTCAGATCTAGCGAAAAAGGCCCTAAATAAAATTTTGTCAGGATGATTCCCAGGTGGGACTAAATTAGTCTCTCACTAATAAAGTGGGAAAGTTAATGTGAAAACTCAGTTTTCATATGGACCCTCAGTCTTGCTCGATAATTATCTCAAAAGATTTTTGTAATCACTATGAAATTTCTAAAGCTATATAAAAGGTCGTGAGTTTTTAAATGTTTTCTTATGATACATAAAACTAAATTTTACTAACAAAGAAAGTCCCTCTAGGAAAAGGGGCCACAATTATGTTCTTCATTAGCCAAAAGATTTTTAGTATAACATAGTCTCATGCATTAGAACTGTAACCAAAATTCAAAACATTTTGAAATCTATGAAAGTTTTATACTGAATCTGGATATAAATGATTACAATGTTTAGTGGGTATGTTCTTACCTAAATTCACTTATGTGACAAAGAAAAGGGTGAATTGTTTTGGTTGTTTACCTTTTCCATTATGCTTAGGAGTAAGAATATTATCCACGGTAGCATTGGCTGTTTCCTAAAAGAAAAAAAAAAAAAAAAACACATACTAAGGTAATTTCATTTCATAATTTGAGAAGAAAAAAAGAGCCTTAATAGAAATCCATAGTTCTCCCATGAGACAATAGAGTGCTCTAGAGTAGAACTTAATTTGAAAGAAAGCTAGTGGATTTAGCTCAGCGGCATAAGCGCCTTCCTGGCAAGCGCAAGGTTGTGAGTTTGATGCCTAGTACCAAAAAAAAAAAAAAAAAAGAAAGAAAGCTAGTGTAAAGTTACTTCGTTCTACTCAACAGCATTCATTGGTATTCCATCTATCACTCAAAATTTCAAGTATCAATGCCACTGTGTATTTTAAATTGGGAAGTTCTAACGCTATAAAAATCACTGCTAATTTGCTAAAAAAAAAAATAACAACATGCAAAACACCAACTAAAAAAAGAAAATTAAAAGCTGACCTAAGACAAATGTATAACTTATAGCATTCATAATTGTATTAAGTCTGAGCTCTGACAGATGACAGTTATAAATCTCCAATTTCCTAAACAGTCTGAGGCATTTTTTAAAAATCATGGCACAAGTGACATTTTTCTGCCAGAAACTTTCGTTTTTATGCTCAATTATCTATGCAACAGCACCCCAGATCATTTTCTATGCATACATGCCCTACCTTGTCTAATATATTTGGAAATCCATATTCCTGACGACTCTGCTTTAAAGGATGGGTGCCTGTTCCTGAAAGAGAAATAAAGGAAGCTTAATACATTTTTGTTCCTAGTGTTTTTTTTCTGAGAATGAAAATAAGTTTCTTGCTAGTAATATTTATGTCAACAGTTCAGCTTCATTCATATGGAGTGGTTACAAATTTATATCATTTATAAAATAGTTTTCTAAAGATCAAATATTATAGAAATATTATTTCCTGGGCTGTGCATTTAGCTCAACGGCATAAGTGCCTGCCTGGCAAGCACGAGGTAGTGAGTTCAATCCCTGGTACCAAAAAAAAAAAAAAGAAATATTATTTCCTTCACTTAAAACATGAGTAGCTGCTTCCTGTCAGACATTAAAATATTAAAATTCAAGCTATAAATTTGAAAACAAAAATGTGAAATTGTTACCAGCTTTTTGTTCATATACTTTTTCTTTTTTTTTTTTTTTTTTTTTTTTTTTTGAGAAAGGGTCTCCCTATCCAGTTCAGGCTGGCCTTGAGATCACTTTGTAGCTGAAGTTGGTCTTGAACTTGGCGACAATCTTCCTGCCTCAGCCTCCTAAGTGCTGAGATCACAGGTATACATCATTGTGCCTGGCTGCACATATACTTAAAAGTTTTAAAGCTGTAATATGGGATCTCTGTGGGTTAGTTTATTTTTATACCATTTTATGCCATAAAGTATTATATGTGGTTTTGTGTGTATATTTTATCAACCATCAGACTCACTGCCCCTTCCCAAATACAGACTATAATTTTGTTTTTTATAGTTCTGCCTTAACTCAGGGAATCTATATAGCTTTCTACAAAAGATTAAAACCTTGTTCTTTCATGTCACTTCTAACATTTTGATTCAGACTTAAGAAAATGTTTATTTCAGCTCCCGGTTTTTCTTAGATTACATTGTAGTGTTTCTTATTTTGCTTAGAAAACTAGCAACAAACACAACTAATAACAAAACTTTATAACAACACTATAAAACTACTAGACCTTGTAGACATCTACAGAACATTCCATCCAAAATAGAATATGCACACAGTTCCCTAATGCATACTAAACATTTTTCTGAACAGGTCAGATAATAGACAATTAAATAAGGTTTGAAATCATATAAAGTATATTTTCTTTTTTTAAATTCATTTTTATTAGTATGATGATCCATAATGAATGCATTCATTATGTACCACAATGTATATTTTCTGACCACAAGGTAATTGAAGTAGGAATCAGCAACAGAAGAAAATCTGGGAAGTTCACAAAGATGTGGAAATTAAACAAGATATTCATAAATAATCAATGAGTTGAAGAATTCACAAGGTAAATTAGACAAGAGTGTGAGATAAATGAAAATGAAAACGCAACATACCCAAACCTATGTGGTGTAGCATGAGCAGTGCTTATAGGAAAACTTATAACTGCAATGTCTACTTTTAAAAAAGGAGAAATATCTCAAATCAATCACCTAAATTTTCAGCTGAGGGAAGTAGAAAAAGAAAAGCAAACTAAACTGAAGTGAGCACAACAAAGGAAATTATTAATAAAGATCAGAGAGAAAATCAGTGTAATCAAAGTTAGTGCTTTGAAAAGAGATACAAAAAAAGACAACCTTTTAACTAGATTGACCAAGAAAGAAAGACAGATGACACAAATCAGTAAAGTGAAGACACCAAGCTCACTGAAACAAGAATTATAAGCTTCTATCAGTTATTCTATGAACAGTATGCCATAAAATTAGATAACTTTGATGATATGGATAAATTCCTAGAATGACACAAATTACTGAAATTAACTCAGCAAGTAACAATCTGAATCCACATACAGCACAGAAGTTAAATTAATATTATAAACTTCCCATGAAGAAAAATCCAGGATCATGTAACTTAACTTTTTAATTCTATCACACATTTAATGTTTAACACAAATCCTACCCAAATTCTTCCAAAATAGAAGAGGAGGGGAAAAACCCCCAAACTATTCAGTGAGGTCAGTATTATTCTGATACCAATGCCAGGCATAGATACTATAAGGGAAGTACAAAGCAAGATTCCTTAGTAACATACAAGCAAAAATCCTCAACAAAATAATAGCAACTAAAGTGACAAACACATAAGATTATGTAACAAAATCAAGTTAGATTTATTCAAGATGTGCAAAATTTGTTTAATACCTGAAAACCAACTTCTGAGACCAGTTCTCTCTAAATCTCTAAACTATCTGGACTGGATCTGAGCCTGTATTCCTCCTGCTTTAACTTCATAAAGTACATGGGAGTGTACCACTAAAACCAGCTACAATGAACTTCTTCGAGATTATGACTTAGTTCAAGGCATTGACTCAATAAATTGCAATTAAACAATAGTATTTTCTTTAATAAAAGAGTACTATTCTCCTGTTCATCTTGAATTTATCTAACTTCTTATATAGAACAGTAAATAATCATCTTTATAATCAGTTAATCTCATATTTTAAAAACAAAATCAACTTTGGAACAGTCTAGGAGTCAATCAGGAATGTAGACATTTTGTCTACGTATAGTTACATCCCTCTCTGCTGCATCAATAACACAGAGAGTGAAAATATACCCTGAAATATATTCCAAACACTGAAGTATAAAACAGATTCATGTGTCCCATTAAATTATACAGATTTATACTGTGAACAGCAAGCCTTGTGGTTGGCTTCAGTGGTTGGAAAATACTCAGATAATCAAAAGACATGGCATTTGTAATTCCCAAGGACTGCTACATTTCACTTGCTCAGATTCAGAATAAAGCACTGTGTTGTACTAAACCAAAGAAAGGATGGATGAAAGGTTGTTTAGGGGAATCACTAGCCAAGTTACATAGACATTATGGTGGAAACCTATTAGGAACTAATATCCCATTAATACAAAAATTTCAAAATAAAACTCATTCTGAAGCTATAATTTTTGGTAACATATTGTTCATGATTTATCCTTGTGTGTGCAAATCTTCTTTTTGTAAAAAGGGAGAGATTCCTGTACATTAAGTTACCACAGAACAAGTGTGTAAATACACAAAACTAAAAATATGGATACGGTGAGCCAAAGATAAAAGACATTGATTCAAAAGTGTCCAACATGGGGCTGGGGATTTAGCTCAGCGGCATAAGCGCCTGCCTTGCAAGCAGGCAGTCGTGAGTTCGATCCCTGGTACCGATAAAAAGGAAAAAGACAAAAAAAAAAAAAAAAAAAAAAAAGAGCCCAACATAAGGGTCCCAAGTCTGTAACACAAATGCCCAACATCACTCAAAATCATTATAGTTGCAGTGAATAAATGCAAATGGAAAAAACAGAACAGAGGATGGTAAGAGACTACTTTAGTAACAAAGATAAAACAAGGAAAATTTTATGAGCTCTATTTATCAAAATCAGAAGAGATAAACAGAGAAGATTTATGGAATGAATGACAAGCAAGTAATGAAAAGTTAAGACTGTGGCATAATAAAAGCAGTGAAGGTAAAATAAAAATCCAAGTCCATTTCAGAGGTATCATTTGCAGTGAAATACATAGGGAAAACCAATTACATTTATAAATTCTAATTATATAATACAATAAAGGATATATTTAAAACTTAAATATTATCTTGATTGTTATGATTCAAAGAGTTTTCAAATTTTTGGAGTTGATTCTCTTAGCTGTTAGAAATGACATATTTTAAAGCCAATACTTTGTTTATAAAAGTTAAAAAAACTATACAGCAGTAGAAAAGAATGCACCACATGAGTCAGGCAATATAAGAAAAAATAGCACACACATGCACAAGCATATACACACACATGAAGCAATGTCCTCTACAGATGAAAGTGACAGGTAAGAAATTTTTGAGGCAAAACAGGATGAGTCCATGTCTTAGGCAAAATGCATTATTTCCATTTACAGATTATAAGTCTTGTGGGATAGATCAAAAGCCATAATTTAAGAACGTATTTACCATGCTCTGTAATTAAATGAATAGCTCGATAATGCCCCATGTCTTCGAGAATCTGTAAAAGGTCACCGATGGTCTTGTTTTTCTGTGCCCAGGACCATAGTAATTCTCGTGTTCCACTTTTACCTTGGTCTACATATTTTTCAATGTGACGAACATCCAGCCAGCTGTTTGAAAGTCTCTCTGCTATAAAAATTGCAAGAGAAAGAACCAAAGAATAGTTTACTTTTATTGGAATATGTGTCTGTTACCTTATATATGTCATTTTATTTTTAACTAATTTAATATATACTCCTTACCCACCTTATATTAATCTTCACATCACTAACCATGTACAATTACCAGAATTAGTAATAACTACAAACATTTTTCTAATGTCAACAGTTCCCTAATGTGTATTTATGTTCATGGACCCTATAGTTCCCCATGTTTCATTTAGTCATTTCTCCTCTAAATTTCCTCCAATCTGTGATTTCTCAGTCTTTTTAGGACAATGAAAGACAGCATCCTTTTTAGTGAATAGTCAATGGTCTCTACTATGAAGGTCTATTACCACTAACACTTAACTAAATGACTTAGTTAAAGTAGTATCTAAAATTATCTTTCTCCTCCTTATAATTAGTATTGGAGGAAGTGCTTTGAGGTAATGGAAATGTCAGCTCTCAGATTTGACCCAAAATATCTGTACCCATCAGCAGACTTTATTACAATTATTACTGTTATTTGCTTAATGATTTTCTACTTTCTATTTTTTCTTCTATTTTCATTAACTGTAATTTTTTATACAATAAAGAGTATCTTTTTCATTTCATCACTCAACTTATTTAGCGTGATATACACTAATGGATATTTTATTCTGATAATTAAGATCCAATACTATCAGTGTTTTGTCATCACTAAAGTTGTTATAGTTTTATTCATTTTGGTTGGTTCCTGTATTCTAGTATATTCTTTTTTTTTAAGCACATTTTTAAGTTTTGGCTCTACACAGTGCTCCAGGCTCATTTTGCATTTGCCCTTCCCAGCAGCAGAATCGCTTGGCCAAAGATACTTCTTTATTGAAGTCTGTGATTAGAAGCTAACGTCCAAGTGCTAGATGTTCTTATCATGGTCAGAGTTCTATAGCTCATGGGTCCTCTAGCCACAATTAGAGCTGGGAAAAACATGTATGCACACTAATGTGTATATATTTTCTTGTTTAATTCTAGTATACTGCATAAAGTACTTGAGTAATTGCTGTTCCTCATCATGAGAAGCACCATTAACTAGGTCAGAATGCAACCATTCTTTTTGTCCTTAGCCTAAGAACATGCAATTAAGATGCTGTTTTCCAAAATTACTTAAAACTTTTTTATTCATGCTTTCACTGCAGTTTTTATTCATTTGTAACATATCTGGATTCAGCTGTTGAAGGTTGTTTTTATACAACAGTACTGTAAATGTTTGTTCTACCCTGTCTTGTTTTTGAGGAATTAAAAGCTATTATCTGGGTAGAGTAAAGGAAACAGTTCACTAAAATACTACACGCTTTAGCGTACATGATTTGTTTAGGGCTTTGTACAAATATCTTAAAGTGTTTCTGAGAGTATATGAGCTTTTATGGTGCCTCAAATTACTAGAATTCTTGAAGAGAACATGTATTCTGCTTTGCTGCATGACTTTCAAATTTTAAAGTTTTCTGTAAGGCAATAAGAGGGAGAGATGGCAATGATAGAAAAGGTAGCTTTCTTGTTTCTGTGATAATATTCCTAGGTTAGCTCAGTAATTTGAGTTCTAAAATTAGCAATGTGTTTGTGGGCCATTGATGGTAATGGCAGCATCCCCTCATACCTTTACCTTCACCCAAAAACCTTAGGATCCCACAGATAGGTCTGTGCATAAAATCCACCAAACTAGTTAGAGAAACTCAGCTGTCCTTCTGACACCAAGATAATCTCATTGAAGGAGTTCCCCATCCACCAGTGATTTTCTCAAAATCTGATATGCTTTTAGAAGGCACTCAGATGCTCAGATCTGAGAAATGCAATAAGCCTGTGGAACTTTTCTCTGCTTAAAGTCTGTCTCAGAGTCCAAGTTCATCAATTTCTTAGAGAGCTGCTTTAGCAGTTACAGTATTTGAAACCAAGACATAAGAAAAGTAGGTATTTTCTGCTTTAATGTGGCATCCTCCACCCCCATATTTTTAGTTCAACAAAGCTTTGCTAGAATATTCAACTGAGAAAATTTTGAAAGTTAAAAAAGTTCACAGTATAAAACCATTACAGCTCTCTGTTCTTTGAGCCAAAAATTGACTTGGTAGACATTACCAGGACTCACCAGTATTTCAGTCCTCTACCTCATCGTGGAGGATTACATTCTCCTCCCCTATAAGATTAGGCATGTACATATGTCTCTTGCAGTACTGGAAAACCAAAGTATAATACCCTAGGTTCCTAGGCTACCCACAGTAACAGCAGAAGCACAGGTTGCCGTAGTGGTGTCCAGACTGAAACAGCCTGGAATATTTGGCCATCATATGGAGGAGAGATTTACTGGATCCTCAGAGGTTTTCCAAAGAACAAAAAACAAATTTCTGCTGTGTAAAACTACTAAGGTTTTAGTGGTATTTTTTATTGCAGCATGACATTCTTCCTTGGTTAATACATACACAGTTTCATACTAAATTTTCTATGACTTCAGTCACTTTTTTTTTGTACTGAGGATCAAACTCATGACCTCATGCTTGCCTGACTTCAGTCACATCTTATCTCAAAACACAGCCAAAAGGAGTGGCAGCATTTGTGAGTATATACCAAATGAGAGGATAAATAAGACTTTCTACTTGAGTGCATAATTAGGGGGAAAAAAGCTGCAATAAAATGTTTGAACTGATATCCACTAGAGAAGGGGAAGTAGATCAGTAGTAAGGAGTAAGAGTAGTAGCGAGAATTGATACAATCAAAGTTCATTATATGCATGTACAGAAAGTCACAATGGAACCCATCGATAAGCACAACTAATATGCACTAACTGTAATTTCAAGATGTAAAGAACAAGTCTGACATCATTAAGTTGGGATGTCTTTGCCTTCTTATTTTAAATTCTGGCAAGAATATATTAATTCCTCATTACTTTGAAGAGATGGTATCTCACAAAAAGAACTATCCAAATGCCAATATATGGCTTTACATGGCTTATCACTAGAACAAGATGACATCTTTAAAGTAAAAATATTAGCAAGATAGGGCAATTCTATTTAATACAGTTAGTCCTTCATATATATATCTATGTGTTCTGCATCCTTGCATTCAACCAACTGAAGATCAAAAATATTTTTTTAAAAACTTGTAACTGTATTAAACATGAACAGATCACTTTCCTGTTACTTTTCCTAAACAACAGAAATATAACAAATATTTTCCTAGTATTTGCACTTATTGTAAGTAATCTAGAAAGGATTTATTAAAGTATATGAGAGGATGTATGTGGGTTGTATTCAAATCCTTTGCCATTGTACATAAGGGTCTTGAACATCAGTAGTCTGCTACCTGTGCAGATCAGAGAACCAATCCTCTGAGGATACTGATGACATGACTGTATATACTGTCTGTCTGTATAGTTGAGGCATATTAAAATATTTTATTTCTAGAAGCTTTTCAGAAAGGATACTGCAAATCAGTATCATTCAACTACTTGGTGGTATCTACAATGTGCAAGAGGTACAGTAATCACAGGCACCAAGTGTGGTTGGGGATGAGGACAGGTTTCTAACTAAAAGATGGAGACACCAGGGAAGGGTACCTACAGCAGGAGTGGCTTCTATAGCATTAATCAAATTTAAATCTGAGTATTTCTAAAAGCAAACCAATTCTTAAAAAACTGTGTCTCCAGGAACATGCTTAGCATACAGATGTTCAATTTATACTGCTGAACGGTAGAGTCTCTAAATGTTCAGATAAGTTAAGAATCTGAACTTCAAAGTCAAGTGTGGTGGTGCACACGAACAGTACGTGTGCTGTACGGAGGCTGAGGAAGGAGGATTGCCATGAGTTCAAGGCAAACTTGGGCAACAAAGTGACTTCATGTCCAGTCTGAACTACCCAGTGAGATCCTGTCTCAAAACTAATAATTAGGATGATGATGATGATGTAAATTTCATTCTGAAAGCAATGGTACTAATCTTAGATTTCTGAAAAATGATGTAAAGATGACTTTTTTGGAAGATTCATCTGGTGACAATAGCTATAGGAAATGTATATGAAATAATTACACATAGAAAGTATAAAAATTTTATAGTTCATACAATTCTCACAGTAGTAAAGGAATCATTTATAACTGTTAGAGAAATAGTTAACTTTAACAATCCCAAAGGATTATAAACTTTCCCATATAAATCCATTCTTTTTTTGCTTTTGCTAGTTTCTGAATTTCCCTTGAAAGGTACACCAGGCTAGCCAGGTATAGTGGCACAAGCCAAAATTCTGGAAGGCTGAAGCAGGAGGATTGCATATTTTAGGCCAGTCTGTGCAACTTAGTGACCCCTGACTCAAAGAAAAAAGGCTTGAGGATATAGTTCAGCAGGAGAAAGCTTGCCTAGCATGCATCAAGTCCCAGGTTCAACTACCAATATGGCAAAAATAAAAACTCTTTAAAAAATGGGGCAGCAGGCTATGGCCCTGTGCTCTCTTGTCCTGTGACTTGGTTGAGAAACTGCTAATGTAAGCCACTTTTCCTTAAGCACACTTCTGAGATTCAGCTGTAGCACAAGTGAACAGATGCAAAAAAGCTGGAATTTTTAGCGCACTAAACATTGGCCAGCAAAGGAGTCAGTTTGCACTCCTTTGCCCCTGAAATCTTCTGAAAGCTAATTCAGGCAAAGGCATTTTTTAATCCTAGAAGTTCACTGAATAGGACTCAGTTAAAATGGGTACTGCTCACACACATGGATCTCCTCTAAGACTAGAAATAAGTTTTCTCTTTCTCTAACTGGATGATTTATTTATTTAATAGCTTTTCTTTAAGGATGATGCATTTTGAATAGAAGCGCTACTAAAGAGTATTATTAACATCCATAAAATGTGTAATTCATTTAAATGAAGTTCTATAAAATAGTTGCAGTATGATGCAATAGTAATGCAAAATCTTGATGTTATTAATTACATTCTTCAATATTTAGTTTTCTCCAATCCTTCCTAATCTGCTTCTTT